TATGTTTCCTTACCCACACAGAGGTCACTGAAGCTCAGACTCCTAGCCCTTCTCATTTTGGAGCTAGGCATCTTTTTTTTTTTTTTTTTTGTTAGGCAATTAGGGTTAAGTGACTTGCCTAGAGTCACACAGCTAGTAAGTGTCATGTGTTTGGTATGAGGCCAGATTTGAACTCAGGTCCTCCTGACTTCAGGGCCGATGCTCTATCCACTGGGCCACCTCACTGCCCCAGGAGCTAGGCATCTTTGATTTACAGAAGAGTCTTGAGTAGAACTCAAGAGTTCAGTTTCAGTTCTAGTCTGCATCCACCCCCACCATATCATCTGTCTCTGCTACGTCTACCTTCAGTCCCAGCTCTCCTCCTTGTAAGAACCCTGAACAATGACCTCACAAAGGGAAACTGAGGCAGGGGAGGAAAAGAAGGCAACAGAGGGATGGTGGCCAACAGATCCAAAAATCCTGGCATAGCCCGTAGGCAACTGGACTGAGCCGAGATAAGGCGAGGAAATGAGGGCTTTTTTGTGGGGGAAGGATAATAAGGAGGGAAGCGTTTTCCCTTGACCAATGAGAGCAGTTAGGAGATCCTCCCTGGGATGCAGGGTCTCACACACAGCATAAATCTCATCATCCTCAGGGCAGCTAAAATCTGTCTCCACCTCTGAGCCTCCACTTATCTTCTTTGGCCCTTTTAGGGGTGGGGGTAGTTTCCCTCTCTTCCGAGTGTAACCCCAGTGTAACCCCCAGCCCATTGGCATGGGAGTCTCTCCACCAATAAAGTTACAAGAAGGATTTAGTTCTTGGCTTGAGGGCAGCGTGTGGAGGGAGGGTCGAGGTTCTCTTTGTATGTTCATGAAGCCCAGTCTTCTGAGAAGCTGAGGGGGAGGAAAACTGTTGCTTAGACAGTCCCCCTCTCCCTGGGTCTATGTCATCCCCACTCCTAAGTTCTGCACCCCCCCATAATGAGGGACTGAGGTAATTGGGTGGGAGTGGGAAGAAGCAGAGGGGGGAGGGTGGTTAGCTGGACTCCCAAGGTGAGCTGGGTGGGTCCAACATAGGTGCAGGCAGCTCAGGGCCCTGGCATCTGGCCCTGCAGGTCTGTCCCGTCCTGTTCTGTCCCTCCTTACTCTCAGCAGCATCCTCCCTCCCTTTGCTCCTCCCATCTGGGGCCACAGGACCCCCTGCTTCTAATCCAGGCTCTGTCTAAGCAGGGTCCACCCCAGGGGGAACTCTGCTGCTTTCACTTCTTCCCTCTCAGGAGATGGATGCAGGTGCCAATCCTGACCTCCCCTTACAAGTGACTGCCGTCTCTCCTTTCCTCTGGATCCTGGAGAGCTCAATTTCTGGAGGAGTAAAATGAAATAGGGAGGGAGAATGAATGGCTAGGCTTCCATCCTGTCCCACAACACATCTCCTGGTGTTACCATTATCAACTTCTCTCCTCTCTCAGTCCGATTTCTTCCTTGGTTTATCTGTCTTTCTCCAATCTGCCCCTTCTCTCCTTATTCAATTCAAGTCTTTAACAAACATTTCTAGGAGGCTTTCTATATGCAAAGCATCATTTGCTAGTCATTGGGAATAATAAAAAAAAAAAAAAGACACAAGGAGCTGTTTAAAGTCTAATAGTCCTCCTTTCCCCCATCCTATCCCTCCCCTCCAACCCTTACCTATGTCTAGCTCTACCACAGGCTCCTTGCTCTGCTCCCTGGTGCCCCCAAATTTTCTTTCAAACCATCCTTCATCAGAAGCCCTAGGCTCTTCTTCTCCTCAACCCTGAGAACTTTGAAGTTGTCTTTGGAATCCTTCCTCTCCTTTATCCCCAGTATTCAATCAATCATCAGCCCTGTCAATTTTTCCCTTTATGAAATGTCTCACATCCATCCCTTCTTTTCCATTCCCATTACACTGCTCTTTCATGCCCATGGCTACATGGCTTGGATTATTTTAACTGCTGCCTGGTCAATATTCCTGTCCCTAGTTTCCCCCTCTCCAACCCAATTTATATAACGCTTATTGTCAAGTTAATCTTTTTAGAATCCAGTGTTTTGTAGGCGGGGTGGTATGGTGTAGTAGAAAGAGTTGTGAATACAGCATCAAAAGACCGAAATTCAAATCCTGCCTCATACTCTGGGAAATTTATTTAACCACTTGCCTCAGTTTCCCCAATTTATTGGTGGGCATAAAAATAATATCTAGCATTTATATATTGCTTTAAAGTTTATACAGAGTTTTTCAAATAGTATCTCATTTGATCCTCACAACAACCTAGGAGGTCTGTGCTGTTATTATCCCAACTTTACAGAGGAGGAAACTGAGGCAAGCAGAGGTTAAGTGACTTGCCCAGGGTCACAAAGCAAGTAAGCATCTAAGGCTGGATTTGAACTCAGGTCTTCTAGTCTCTAGTACTCTATCCATTGTAACATCCAATTTTCAGGGTTGTTGTGAGGAAAGCATTTTGCAAACTTCAAAGTACTACATAAATGTGAGTTATTGTTATTATTACTTACCTCATCGGGTGATTGTGATGAAAATGCTTTGCAAATGTTGAAAACAATAAATAAATGGTAGCTATTAATATAGGTGGTGCAGTGGATAGAGTGCTGAGCCTGGAGTCAGGAAGACTCATCTTCCTGAGTTTAAATCTGGCCTCAGACACTAGCCGTGTGACCCTGGGCAAGTCACTTAACCCTGTTTGTCTGAGTTTCCTCGTCTATAAAATGAGCCAGAGAAGGATATAGCAAAACCACGGCAGCATCTTTGCCAAGAAAACCCCAAATGGGGTCACAAAGAGTTGAACACATGAAACGACTCAACAACAACAAAATTATTGTTTTATTTCTCCTCTGATCAAAAGCCTACCTGGATACCTTCCCTCCCCGCCCCCCCCATATCATGTGAATGCTTTTGTCTGGTTTCAGTACCAGCCTTCCATGTAGCTATCTCCACCCTCTCTATCAAACTATTTTCTACTACTCCCTATTGCACACCCTATACTCTAGTCAGGCTGGTCTCATTGTCCCACAAATACACTATTCTTACTCTGGCCTTCTCTCACATTGTTCTTCTATCCCGAGATGAAGCCTTCCTTTTAGCTTACCTGTCCAAATTCTAGCCACCCCAACTCAAGTCCTGCCTATTTCATGATGCCTTCCTTAATTACTCTAGCCCAAAATGATTTTCCCCTTTTATTGACCCTCTAAGACTTAACATCTGCATGCCATGTACTGTTCACTAATTACTTCATTTGTGTATATGTCTTTGCTTCTCAATAAGATTTCAAGTGCCTTGAGGACAAGGACTACATCATATACATGTCTGGGCCTCAGTGTACTCATCTGTAAAATTAGGGGTTGAACTGGATGATTGCCTTCTCTATAATTCTATGGCTCTGTGCTCCATAATACCTATCCGGAACAGTGCTTTTGACAGAGGCCACTGGGAACCTATTCATTGCTGCTTCTCTTTGGAATCCAAAATGGAATGACCAGGTCATCAGAGGCAGATTGGGTACATACCCATAGGGCCGGACCATTGAATGAATTTCTAGGTCCCTGCTTTCTTCCCAGCCCAGCCTGGCTTGACCTCGTCTCTGTGTCTCTGACCCTGTACTCATCTGTCTCCAGCCTTACTGATAACTCTGTTTTCTACCAGGACTCTTCCTGTCTCTGGCAACTTGTTCGTTCCTGCCTCTGTGACTTTGTTTAAGCCATCCTTCCCACGTGGAACATCTGTTTCTCTCTTCTAATCCACAGGACTGGATGATTTCTGAAGTCCTTTCCAGCTCTGACATTCTGTGATTTTGATCTGGATTCAAACCCCAGCTGAGCTAGGTACTACTTATGTGACCCAAGCACTGTCTGTACAGTCAGAGGACTTGGCTTCGAATCCTACCTCTTCACCTTGGGCAAATCATTTAACAAGCCTCAGTTTCCCCATCTGTAAAGTTAGGAGATTAGACTAGATGGTTTCTCAGCTCTAGTTCTGTGATCCTGATCCTATACTTTGGACAATTCACCAGACCTCTAGGACTCAGTTTCCCAGATGAACCACACTAGATTATCTCTAAGAACCCTTCTATTTCCAAAACCTATGGTCCTTCACCTCCTTCTAGATCTTAAAATTCAGCTCCTCCTAGAATTGGAGCTTTAGACATAGAAGGTACTTTGCAGGGAACCCAGCCCAACCCCTTCATTTTACAGATTTGAGATAGCTGAGGCTCGGAAAAGTGAACTGCCTTGCTGGAGGTGACAGGGGCAGTTCGCAGCAGCGCTGGTTAGAACTCAGGTCCTAGGACCCCAAGTCTCAAATGCTTTCCATTAGGACAGGTTGGCACTCTGTATCTACTTTTCTTCTGGCCCCAGACAAGAAGCATCTTCCCTTTAGAACCCCAGAAAGCTGAACCTGGTTTTCATCCATCTTTCTCCAGGAAGTTTCCCTTACTGAGTCCCTCACATCTGACTGTTTACCCATCTTCCATGAGATGCAAAAAATTAAAGTGGGTTGTCCAGGGTCATAAAACTGGAAAGCATGAGAGTAGGATCTGAACCCAGGTCTTCTTGATGTCAAGTCAAGATGAGATCTAGAGGAACTGAGTAGTTGGCCAGTGGTCACTCAGGTAGTAAATAACAGGGCTAGTTTTGAGAACCAGGTCTTCAGACTCTAACTCCAATTTTTTGTGTTGTATTCACTTTCTTCCAGGTTATCCCAGTCATTAACCAGCTACGTGACCTCTGATTAATCCCTTTACTTCTCTAAAAACATATTTCCCTTATAAGATCTGACCCATTAATCAGATGAGATCAAGTAGGTGAAAGTGCTTTGCCTCGTATCAACCCTACAGATGCAAATTATTGTGATAATTTTTACAGGGTACGTTTGCATTGCCCACGAAGGTTCTGTTCATCCACATGAGGTCACATATTTATCATTATTAGGAATTTAGCAATTATTTGACTGGCCGGTACCGTCAATAACCGTGGCTCTTTCTTGGCATTTCCCTGCAGATTTGTGCCTGGCTGGTAAGCTGGAGACGTCAGCTCTGGTTACTGTGGTCCTCGGTCAAGATGCAGAGTTGCCGTGTTTCTACAGGGGAGAGCCCGGGGAGCAGGTGAAGCAGGTGGCTTGGGCCCGAGCTGGAGAGGGAGAGGGGACGGCAGAACTGGCATTGCTACATGACACATACGGTCTGCATGTGAGTCCTCCCTATGAGGGACGAGTGGAGCGGCCGCCACCCCCTCGGGATTCCAATGATGGTGCCATACTCTTGCGGAATGCCGTGCAGGCCGATGAGGGGGACTACGAGTGCCGAGTCAGCACTTTCCCTTCAGGCAGTTTCCAGGCGGGGCTCCATCTCCGAGTGCTTGGTGAGTGGGTGCAGAGGTCTAGGGAAAGGCAGTCAGGGAACTGGGAATCCTAGTTGGCGGAGTCATAGAGAGAGAAAAGTAGAACATGAGATCAAAGGGATCTCAAAGATTGACAAGTCCGGCTCTCTTATTTGACAAAAGAAAGTGAATCTTAGAGAGATGAAGTGACTTCTCCAAGAAGAACCATAACTAGAACCTTGAGTCCAAGTGCAGTGCTTCTTCTAGAGAGACAGTATGGCGTACTAAGAAAGGTCATGGGGGGCAGCTAGGTGGAGCAGTGGATAGAGCAGTGGCCCTGGAATCAAGAAGACCTGAGTTCAAATCCACCCTCAGACACTTGCTTACTAGCTGTATGACCGTGGGCAAGTCACTTAATCCCAATTGCCACACACAAACACACACACACACACACACACACACACACACACACAGAAAGAAAGGTAATGGGCTTGGGAGTCAGAGGACACGTTCCAAATACAATGCCCAATGTTGTTCCTTACCACCTGTGTGATAGCAGGCAAATCACTTCCTTTCTATGGGCCTTGGTTTCCTCAAATGTCAAATGAGCTAACTAGATTAGATAATGTTAAAATTTTCCTTCAGCTATCCTATGCCCTATAAGAAATTTTAAGGCCCCAACTCTCAGTGTTTCCTGAGCTGTAAAATGGAGATAATATTGACATAAATGTGAGTTATTATTATTTCCACTAGAAAATTAAATTATGAAAGTTATGAAACAACCAATTTGTTGGAATGGTACAATTTCAATCCAATAACTGAATGAAATTAATTTGTGTCCTAAGCATCACCTAGGTGGTCCTGGGTGGGTGGGTGGGTGGGAATATCCTAATGGATATCTCTCATTTAGACATGTCTGGTCACAATCAGTCCCCTCTCCTATAAAGTACTCTATTCCCTGCCTCCTCCCTGCTTTATAGGGATGTTTCAGGAGTAAGTGAGATCATAAAAGTGTTGAGCTCTGAATTGCTCAGGAAGGAAGGGGAACCATGTTTACCTGGAAGTCACTTAGCTGTCAAGCAAAACAATCAGAGAGCAAGGCAAGGATGGGAAAGGTGATAAAGTGGCAAGAGAAGATAGATTAAGACTAAGAAATAAGTAGCAGGCTATGTTCCCCAGTAAAGGTGAAAACAGAGCTAGGAATACATCCCATCACAGGAGTGACTTGCTCCAAGGGAGGCTAGGACACATGTCTCCTAGGCAGGACAGAGACAAAGAGAGTATAGGCGAGCAGGGGGTCTTTCTGTGTGGGGTGGAGGGGAGGGGTGTGTGTGTCTGTGTGTGTGTGTGTGACTGGCAACAGGCCCAGGTTTTTCCCTGATGAGTTCTCTCCCTTCCCTCCATCCCCTGTAGTACCCCCTCTGCCCACACTGAACCTGGGCCCCACCCTGGAGGAAGGCCAAGGTCGAACACTGGCAGCCTCTTGCACAGCTGAGGGCAGTCCTGTGCCCAACGTGACCTGGGACACAGTGGTCAAGGGTATGATCACTAACCGCTTGTCTAGTCACCCGAGATCATCTTCAGTCACCTCAGAGTTCCATCTGGTGCCAAGCCGAACTATGAATGGGCAGTCCCTCACCTGCGTGGTGTCCCACCCAGGCCTGCCAGAGGACAAAAGGATCACACACATGCTCCGGGTTGCCTGTGAGTGCCTGCACACTGAGTGGGGTGAGGGGTGCAGAAACGTACAGGAGGGGCGCAAAGTGGTGTGTGGGGTCCTGACCCAGGTAGAGAGACGAGGGCCTGGGATCTAACAATCAGTCAACATTTCCTGAACTCAATGGTGGACTGTGTTCAAGAACCAAAAGAAGTTTGAGACATGTCCCTGCCCTCAGGGAGTTTTCCATCCTGTTGGAAAGACCAAACTCACCCAGGATATCATTATATACCAAGTGGTTCCCTCGGCAAATATCACACACATCTGGAGAAAGGAGAAATCAAAGCTAGCGAAATAGGTTTCATGCCAAAGACTGCCCTTGAAGGGTCACCCGGTTTTGGAGAGGCTTGGGGGGGGAGGAGCCAGTGCTTTTCGGGTCGTGGTTTTCTCACTTTCTCTCCCCTGTTCTTCCCCACCCCTACTCTCTGGTTCCACAGTTCTTGCTGAGGCCTCGGTGTGGGGCCATGAAGATCCTGAGCTATGGCACGTGGGAAGAGAAGGCGTCATGCTCAAGTGTCTGAGCGAGGGGCAGCCTCCACCCTCCTACAACTGGACTCGGTGAGTGAAAACCCTGTGCTAGGCACAGTGGGGAAGAGATGAAAGCCAGAGTAAAGGCCTGAAGGGGAGGAGGCGCCTTCTCATAACTTCAGAGTCAGGTTGGATTTCAGAGGTCAGGCTGTAGGAGGGTTCTACTGGCTCTTTTCCAGGGTCTCATACACAGGGAGAGGTGATGCTCTCAGATGTGTTAGAGAAACAGTTCATGTGTACACAGAGATGTGCATGTAACACACGTGTACATGAGGTACACATGAAGTGACCTTGGGCCTGAGGATATGGCCAGGTACCTTGCCTGTGTTGGAACATGCACCCTTTCTATGTACAACCGAACACATGGCAGTGTGAGCTTTGCTTTGTGGGGTTTACTGACATGTGTGTGGCCTGTTGTGGGCTTGCCCTTTCGCAGGCTCCTGGGTGATGTGATGAGTGTGGGAGCATGTGGGATGGCACGTGTGTAAATCTCCCCTGCTGCAGGGTGGGGGTGCCCAGGTCAGGCTGGGCAGCAGGGGGGAAGGGGCCTCTGCCCAGGCCTGTGCCCAGACCTGCCCAGGGGAGGGAGGGGCACCGTGGGAACCGGCTGGCGGGCTCTGGGTGACGTCACCGTGGTGATGGGGGGGGCAGGAGCTGCCTGGGCATGTCAGGCAGCAGCAGTAGCAGACTCGGCCTGGTCTGGCCGGCACCCATCAGCCTCCCCTGCCCTCTCAGGCTGGATAGGCCTCTGCCCAGCGGGGTGCGAGTGGATGGAGGCACCTTGGGCTTCCCTCCACTGACTGTTGAGCACAGCGGCACCTATGTCTGCCATGTCAGCAATGAGGTCTCTTCTCGGGACAGCCAAGTCACTGTGGCTGTCACAGGTGAGTTGGGACTTGGGAGGGAGAGCACAGAGGGACGTGATGGGTCAGGCCCATGGGTAAAGCCAGAGCAGGCAGAAGGGGTTATGGCAGAAGGAAGGCAGGAGACAGATGAGGACGCACAGCCAGGAATGACAAGAATCATCATAATCAATCCACAAGCACTTATTAATGTAATGGGGGGCTTGGCCAATGGAGCTCCATTCACAGAGCATGTGCATCCATTGGCCAGGCTTTCATTATATGATGTGCCCACTATGTTCCAGCACTGTGCTGGGCACTGGTGATTCAAAAACAAATGAAACGTGGGTAGAGCACCGGCCCTGGAGTCAGGAGGACCTGAGCTCAAATCCGACTGCAAACACTTACTAACTGTGTGACTCTGGACAAGTCACTTAACCCAGATTGTCTCCAAAAAAATTAAAAAAAAAATAATGAAATAATACCTACTTTCAAGGAGTTTACATTCTAAGGATCTCAAGTAGACTGTAGGGGAATCATTCACCTACCCCTTCCCAACCCCTCCTTCCCTGTCCCCCCAGATTGGGGTGGGAGCCTAGGCCAGGTGTGAGATTCAGGAGGCAGGGGTGTGATTGGGCTATGGGGGATGGGTGGAGGAGCTGACCTCCTCTGACCTCCTATTATGTTTCCCCTCTCTGGCCTTCAGCAGAGAATGAAGCCCCACCAGTTGATGTGGATGTGGTTTCTGCCTCCATGGTGGCAGTAGGAGTGATTGCTGCTCTGCTGCTTTGCCTCCTGGTGGCAGTGGTGGTGCTCATGTCCAGATACCATCGACGCAAGGCCCAACAGATGACCCAGAAGTAGTGAGTGCTGGAGGGGGAAGGGGGAAAAGGGGAATGGCTATTGGAGAAGAAATATCAGGGAAAGAAGCCAGACTGTGACAAGTGAGAGAGGAGAGGAAAGGAGAGGGGAAGACAGGAAAGGAGAGCAGAAGAGAAGATAGGAGAGGAGAGGAAAAGACCAGAAAGGAGAAGAG